TTTTGATTTCCTTGAATCTTTGATTTTCTTCATTCTTTTTTGCTCCAGATGGGAACAGACCAACAGTTGTACCTTAAATGGCCAACTGCAAGCTTGTAAGACCTCAGACACTATTCACCAAAGTAGGATGTAGAACATTTTCTTTACGGACTATGTTATGCCAATTGACCTAGATGTTCCCTGATACTATGGTCCTAAACCCTCTAGTGACCCAGTCCCTCAAGGTATTGGTTATGGCTAAGAAGTTTTCATAACTTTGCCCCGTGTGCTCTACTATATACACGGATAGGTCTGCAGCACATACAGATATGTATGTGGAAATATCCTCTGCCAAACCTATATATGCTCGTGGGTGTACTCCCACATGCCATCCCACACCTGTTCAGCTCATAAATTATTGTTTATTACTGTTATTGCAGTATTGTGCAAGTAATACTAAGTATACTAAGTAAAAGTATTTACCATTGTTTCCTTTGCCTTTGCCTTGGTCATGTTGTGCTGACATCCCCCTTACTGTGTATTGCTTTTCCCTTCATCCAAGTTAATGTGTCCACAATCTAGTTAGAGATTTTCCCTCCCTCCCCGTCCCATCCCTGGTGACCATCAAAGAATGTTTCTTTCTGTGTGTAAACCTTTTCTTGACTTTTCACCATAGTGGTCTCATAGAATATTTGTCCTTTTGTGATCAACTTATTTCACTCAGCATAGTGTCCTCCAGGTCATCCACACTGTGAGACGTTTCGCGGATTCACTGCTATTCTATAATGTTGCATAGTACTCCACTGTGTGTATGCATTATAATTTTTTATCCATTCATCTGCTGATGGGCACTTAGGTTGTTTCCATCTTTTTGCTATTGTGAATAATGCTGCTGCAATGAACATGGGGGTGCATGTGTCTATTCATGTTACAGCTCTTATTTCTCTAGGATATATACTAGTAGTGGGATTACTGGATCATATGGTATCTCTATTTCTAACTTTTTAAGGAAACGACATACCGTTTTCTACACTGGTTGTACCATATGACAATCACACGAGTCGTGTATGAGAGTTCCAATTCCCCTACAACCTCAACAGCATTTGTTGTTTTCTGGTTTTTTTGATCAGTGCTATTATTGCCGGGGTGAGATATATCTTGTTGTTTTGACTTGCATCTCTCTAATGGCTAATAGAGCCCTGGTGGTGCAGTGGTTAAGCGTTCGGCTGCTAACCAAAAGGTCGGCAGTTTGAATCTACCAGCCACTCCTTGGAAACCCTGTGGGGCAGTTCTACTCTGTCCTATAGGGTCACTATGAGTCAGAATTGCCTCAATGGCAATGGGTTTTGTTTTTTGATTTTTTTAGTTTAATGGCTAATGATCATGAGCATCTCTTCATGTATTTGTTGGCTGCCTGAATGTCTTCTTTGGTGAACTGTCTGTTCATGTCCTTTTCCATCTTTCTAAGTGGACTGTCTTTTTGTTGTTGAGGTATTGAAGTTTTCTATAAATTTTAGAGATTAGTCATTTGTCAGATATGTCGTTGCCAAAATTTGTTTCCCAATCTGTATGTTCTCTTTTTATTCTTTCAGAGAAGTCTTTTGATGCACATTAAGTGTTTAATTTTTAGGGAAGTCTCAGTCATCTAGTTTATCTTCTGCTGTTTGTGCATTTTTAGTTGTGTTTGATAGTCTATTTATGCCACAAATTAGAGCTCCTAGGTTTGCCTCTATTTTTCTTCCATAATCTTTATAATTTTAGGTTTTACATTTAGGTCTTTGATCCACCTTCAGTTAGTTTAGTTTTTGTGTATGGTGTGAGGTAGGGATCCTGTTTCATTTTTCTACAAATAGATATCCAGTTGTGCCAGCACCATTTGTTAAAGACATTATCTCTTGCCCATTTAATGGACTGTGACCCTTTGTTGAAGATCAGCTGTCCATAGGTGGATGGATTTACTTCTCGGTTCTCAATTCTGTTCCATTGGTCTATGTGTCTGTTATTGCACCAGTACCAGGCTGTTTTGACTATCGTGGCTGTATAGCAGGTTCTGAGACAGGGAAGTGTGGGGCCTCCTACTTTGTCCTTCTTCAGTAGTGCTTTGCTTATACAGGGTCTCTTTCCTTTCCATATAAAGTCAGTGATTAGTTTTTCCATCTCTTTAAAGAATGTTGATGGAATCTGGATCAGGATTGCATTATATCTCTAGATCACTTTTGGTAGTATTGACATGTTCACAATGTTAAGTCTTTGTATCTATCAACATGGTATGTTCTTCCATTTATGTGGGTCTCTTTAGGTTTCTTGCAGTAGTGTTTTGCAGTTTTCTTTGTATAAGACTTTTACATCCCTGGTTAGGTTTATTCCTAAGTATTTTATCTTTTGGAAGACTATTATAAATGGTATTGTTTTCCTGATTTCCTTTTCAGAGATCTCTGTTAGTGTAGAGGAATCCAACTGATTTTTGTATCTTGATCCTGTACCCTGCCACTTTGTTGAATTCTTCTATAGTTCCAGTAGCTTTCTTGTAGAATCTCTGGGATTTTCTATATATAGATCATATCATCTGCAAAAAGGAACAGTGTTACTTCTTCCTTACCAATTTGGATACCTTTTATTTCCCTTTCTTGCCTTACTGCTCTGGCTAGGACTTCCAGTACAATACTGAATAAGAGTGGTCATAAAAGGCACTTATGTCTGGCTCCCACTCTCAAAGGCAGTGTTTTCAGTCTTTCTCCATTGAGAATAATGCTGGCTGTTGATTTTGTATTTATGCCCTTAACTACACTGAGGAATTTAATTTCTATTCCTATTTTGCTGAGAGTTTTTTATCAGGAATAAGTGCTAGATTTTATGAATTGTCTTTTCTGCATCAATTGATATGATCATGTGGTTCTTTTCCTTTGTTTTATTTATGTGGTGGATTAGGTTGCCTGATTTTCAAATGCTGAACCATTCTCACAAAGCTTGTATAAATCCCACTAGGTCATGATATATTATGTTTTTTCCTAAGGTGTTGGATGATATTGGCTAAGATTTTGTTGAGAATTTTTGTATCTATATTTGTGAGGGATATTGGTCTATGATTTTCTTTTTTAGTGATGATTTTGCCAGGCTTTGGTATCAGGGTTATACTGGCTTCACAGAATGTATTCGAGAGTATTTCTTTCTTTTCTAAGTTCTGGAATAGTTCGAGTAGCACTGGTGTCAGCTCTTCTCTGAACGTTTGGTCGAATTCTCCAGTGAAGCCGTCTGGGCCAGGGCTTTTTTTGTTGGGAGCTTTTTTTATGACCTCTTCAATTTCTTCTTTTGTTATGGTTCTGTTCATATTTATTACCTCAGTTTGTGTTTAGGTAGGTAGTGTGTTTCCAGAAATTTGTCCATTTCTTCTAGATTTTCAAATCTGTTGGAGTACAGTTCTTCATAGTATTCTGATATCCTTTTTATTACAGTTGGTTCTGTTGTAACATCACCCATCTCATTTTTCATTTGTGTTAGTTGCACCTTCTTCTTTTCCTTTGTCAATTTTATTAATCCTTTCAAAGAACCAACTCCCAGTCTTGATTTTTCCTACTGTTTTTCTGTTTCATTTATTCCTGCTCTAATCTTTATTATTACCTTTCTTCTGGTGACTGTGGGCTGCTCTTTTTTTATTTGCTGGAGTTTTAGGGTTAAGGTGTTGATTTGGGCTCTTTCTTTCTTTTTGATGTGTTTACAGCTATAGCAGGAGCCGTAGTGGTGTAGTGGTTTGTTATTTTGGTTTTGAAAGGTTTTGGTATGTTGAGTTTTCACTCTTGTTTGATTCCAGGGTTTGTTTGTTTTTTCCACTTTTTATTTCTATTACCCAATGGTTTTTAAGCAGTATGTTATTTCATTTCCATGTATTTGATTTTTTGACTTGTTCTTCCTGTTACTGATTTCTAATTTTATAACATTGTGATCCAAGAAGATGCTTTGCATTATTTTGATTTTTCTGAATTTATTGAGGCTTGCTTTGTGGTCTAAAACATGGTCTATTTTGGACAATGATCCATGTATGCTGGAAAAGAATGTGTACTGTGCTGTTGTTGGGTGGAGTGTTCTGTACATCTCTATGAGATTAAGTTGTTTGTGTTGTTTAGATCTTCTGTATCTTTGTTGAGTTTCTTTCTGTTTGTTCTGTCCTTCATCAAAAGTTGTGTGTTCAAGTCTCCTACTCTTATTGTGGAATTGTCTATTTCTCTTTTCAATTCTGTTCAAGTTTGTTTTATGTATTTTGGAACTCCTTCACTGGGTGCATAGATATTTATCATGGTTATGACTTCTTGTTGGATTCACCCTTTAATCATTCTATAATGCCCTTCCTTGTCTCTTACACTGGTTTTTGACTTAAAGTCTATTTTATCAGAGATTAATATTGCCACTTTTGCTCTTTTTTGGTTGTTGTTTTACTTGATATATTTTTTCCATCCTTTGATTTTTTAGCTTATTTTTATCTTTGTGTCTAAGGTGTGTCTCTTGTAGGCTGCATATTGATGGGTCATGTTTTCTTATCCATTCTGCCACTCTCTGTCTCTTGATTGGTGAATTTAATACATTTACATTCAGTGTAATTATCGATAGATATTAACATGGAAGCAGGCAAAGTGAAGAGTCATCCAGCACATTCTAATGTCAAGTACACTTAAAAGTATGGAGAGGTGTGAATTGCACAGCCCAGAGACAGGAACTGTGAATCCACCTGCCCAGGCTCCAACTCCAGCCTGGCTACTCAACTGCTGGAGCAAAGGCATGGCCTTGTGCTCCTAGGGCTGGCCAGAGCTAGACTTGCAAATGGAAGAGTCCATGAAGACCTGACTATCCTAGACAGGAGAAATAGTAGAGAACAGAGGGAGAAGGGGAGACAGTGGCCTGGTGGATGTGGGGAACCCCATGGACAAAGTCAGCTCCCTGAGATTCTCCTTTTATATACTCCCTGGCAGGGGCATCCAGAACCCTCCATGAACAGTGCAGAGGAGAGGAGGAAAGCAGGCTACACTCACCGATTGGTGGAGCCATTGTAGCAATAATTGGGCAAGAAGTCATAGTTGAGCTCCCAGAAAACGTGGAGAGTGATTCTTCCATAAGGGGCTGACACGTTGTGGTTGGCTTCACGGAACATGGCATCAAAGCTGTCCAGCGTCAGGTACTTGCTCAGCAGCTTGTGGGTCATGCGGTTTATTTCTAAGAGGCCGTCTAACTCCTAAAGAACCATAGGAGACAGAGTGTGAGAACAGAGCTGAGGCTGAGGATGGGAGGAGGCGCTGTTGAGGTCCAATGGGATAGCCTCAACCTCTTGCACAGGCAGAGCTGATGCCCACACGTGTGCACAGTGAGGACACAACCAGACGCCGGCTGTGGACGGGGGCTGGCACTGAGAAGTATAATGATGGAAGTGGTCTGTCTGTGACCCCGTGCACAGAGTGCACAAGACAGGCTTACGTTAGGTAACACTAGCTCACTTCTTATATCTGATTCACCACACTTCCCTGGCAGCCCTTGACTATATTCATCTGCCCCACAGCTGCCTTATCTGGGCTGTCATCCTTTCTCCACAGCAGCTACCCCTGAACTGCCTGTCACCCTCCCATAGGGGAGGAGTCCACTCCAACAAAGCAGCCCTCTTGGGCTGCCCCTCGTACCACCCCTCTCACCTGACAACACACTCCAAGCCATCACAGCGCCCCTCTCCCCACGGTGCCTGCCATCCAAGCTCCTCTCAACACCCTTGCCCTGGCCCCATTCTTCCTCTGGGAGGCCCGCTGCACAGCCTGTCTCACCCCGCTCTGCCTCTCCTCGCATCACAGAGGTGTCAACTCACAGTTATTCATACCAGTCTCTGAATCGTATTGGCCTGTTCCGCCAGAGCTTACATACAGACCGTCTTTTGCCCCCTTCATCACTATAGCCCCTGTGCAGGGTAACTCAATAAATAGTTCTGAGGTACAATGAGTTCTTTTATGTGGCCTTTTGCCTTGGTTCTTTGGAAAATCAACTTAGGAGATTTTTTTCCTCTAAACCCTGAGGAGTGGTTACCTTTGCCCTAGTTCTTTAGAGAAGCAACTCTGGGAACCTCCCAGGTCGCTTTCTACCCCAGAGGGTTTATTGCTTTTGCTCAGGGGAGGAGCTGGTGTCTGCCTACAGAAAATGTTACTTTTGTGCAAGACCTGAGTTGATTGATATCTCATGGGTAATGGAGGATTGGCTGAACTCTGGTCTGCGGAGGGAGGCCATGCCTTGTAAGTGATGAGGACTGGTATATACATGGAGGACTGAAATCAGAGTTTTTCAAGGCCCCGTCGTTGGCAGGAGCTGGGAGGGAAGTGTGTCCTTTGGGACAGGGAGGCCCCACCCAGGGCTGGTAAAAAAAAGCTGCAGCTAAGACAGCTGCTAGCTAAAAGCTGGGCTGGTAGATAAGCAAAGCCACGCAGAACCAGAGCAGTCCTGAAGCTGCTACAGTGGCTGAGATGGGTCGGTTAGCGGCAGAGAGGTTGAAGGCAGAGAGACCAGACAAGAAGCCCCAAAAGTAGAGAGCTGTCTGAGGTCTTGATAAAGAACTGCACTGGCAGGGAGCACTTCTGCTCCAAGGGCTATCCCGCAAACTGTCCTGCAAGCTGTCCTGGTTGACAAATTGTATCCTGTCTTCCTGAGTTGTTTCTGTTACTTCCTGTGGATCCTGATCCCAAGTGGTAGCTTGTTACTTCCCTAATAAACCACATAAATGTTAAGTATGGTCTGTGAGTTCTGTGTTGCCATTGTAATGAATTATAAAACCCAGTAGAGAAATAGAGTGCCACAGGGGAAACGGCTGGTGTCAGAAATGGTGAAGAAGTTGCAAAGCAGAAGTATGTCTGACATCCACCTCATAGGAACGAGCTTTATGCTGATCCTGATTCTTATTCCTTGTGAGTTTACAATTCATTATGCTATCTTACAAGTTCTTAAAGATTTAAATCAAAGAATAAATAAATGGCCTCAGATTATTTCTCAAAATAAATAATTCTGCACTGCCTTTCATCTTGATCTGCCCGTCCTCTTGGTCTAGCACAGGGCAACTTTCACATGGGGAAGCTGGCAGAGCACAGCCTGGCTGAGGGACCCCTCTCCTGGCTGTGGAGTCATGTCTCTCCATGAGTGCTTCCAGGCCACCTGCCTGAGCCTTAGATTCCCTTTCCCACTCAAGTCTGTGAGCAAGACAGTCGGCTCAGACCCAGGCCCGAAGGCAATCCCAACATGTTCTACACACAGCTCCCCACATACCCACCTCATTCCACTGCACTAGGCAATCAGACAAAAGGATGGGCTGGGTGGGCTTATCGGCATCCCAGTGAGACTCACTGAGATACACTGGGGAGGTCATACCTACTCAGGGTACACCTACAGGGCCTGGGTGAGGATGGGGGAGAACAAGGCCCACAGATGCTCCCCCAGAGGCCCATGTGACTAGGAATGAAAATAGTGCAGACCCCCACTGCTGGGGCTGAAGCTGCTCTCTGGGGAAGAACAGGCCATCAAGGAGACAGGTGGGTCCCTGCTTGGCTGCAGAGAAGCCAGAGAGCCCTGGCAAATATGTCATACTGGACTCAAATTTCTTACATGTCAAAGGAGGTGGTGAACCAGACAGGTGTGCTCCGAACTTCCCCGGTGAGAAGAATGGCCCAGTGAGCCTGTGTGACCAATGTAAATTCCCAGACCCTGTCCCAGACTAAGTGCATCAGAAGGGCCCAAAAGCACACCTCCTATTGATTCTTGGTGAAAGGCAAGTCTAATGAACACTGAGGTAGGTGGTCTCTAACACATTCTATGTTCTGTCTGAGGGCAGTGGTTATTCAGTGGTAGAATTCTCACCTTCCATGTGGGAGACCAGGTTCAGTCCCCAGACAGGGTACCTCAGGCACAGCCACCATCCATCTGTCAGTGGAGGACTGCGTGTTACTATGATGCTGAACAGGTTTCGGGGGAGCTTCCAGACTAAGATAGACTAGGAAGAAAGACCTGGTGATCTACTTCTGAAAATCAGCCAATGAAAACCCTATGGATCACAATACTCTGATCCACAACCAATCACGGGATTGGTGCAGGACTGGGCAGCATTTTGTTCCACTGTGCATGGTGCTGCCATGAGTCGGCACCAACTTGATGGCAGCTAACAATAACAATGGTAGGTTTTATGAGTTTGTCATGAAAATGTGCTGCCTGACATACATTTTCTCCAACTAAGTAGGCCATAATAGACATTTAATATTTTACTATTTTTGCTTTTTTAAAAATTAAGAGTAAACATTTTTTAAAAAACTAAAATTGCTCTTTAAATAGTATGGACTTTTATAAAGGCTTCAAATTCTATTGTGACTTCAGAGGTCCTTTCAATTAAAAAAGAGAAATGAATAATCTTATAACACAACCACACTTAGAATAACAAAATCTCAAGTCATATTTATCCAGGTTGCTTTTCTCTCTTTCTGTTCAAAGTACTATTAGGCCTTTGGGGTTTTTTTTTTTTAATTTAAGGACTGAAAAAACTGTATTTGACTAAATGGGGTTTAGAGCAAAAAAAAGTTAAATTTTCATACTGTATCTGAGCTAAGTCAGCTTTCTTTAATAAGAAGGGTGTGCCTGTAGGTATTTAAAACCACGAGCTGGGTGGAAGAGTTCGCAAGCATATCACAGGTGTCATTTAAAAGTTTCATTTATTGTTCGTAAAACTTGACTACACCTGTACTGTCCAACATGGCAGCCACCGAGCACATGAATTGTGGCCGGTCAGAACTGAGATGTGCTTAAGTGTAAAATATCCACCAGATTTCGAAGTCTTAGTATGAAGAAAAATTATGTAAAATATCTCAGTAATATTTTATATTTATTACATGTTGAAATGTTAATATTTGGATATATTAGGTTAAATAAAATATACTAAAATTAACTTCACCTGTTTCTTTTTACTTTTTTAACATGACTATGAGTAAATTTACGATTACATATCTGACTTGCAGTTGTGGCTTCTGTTATATTCCTACTGGACAGGTGCTGGTCTAGGTCAAAGTTATAACCAATAATTTTACTCAAAAATCATATATGTACAGTGACTCCGAATACTAGGGCCTTGGACCAAATCATGCTTGTAAAGAGAGAGCACTGTGGGTCTCTGGGTATCAAAACAGCCCCTCTGATCCTGAGGAACAGCCGGAACAGCGCCGCTCACTGACAGCCGGTGTTGGGACAGGCCAGTCTTAGGACAACCTCCTTCTCTTTCCCTCAGAAGTGACTTGATCATTTTGCTTGGAAACTGAAAGGAATTTTTATTCTCCTTTAAAGTCTAATATTTCCTGGTGTTGGTAACTTTGAGTCAGTTTTCCCAGGTACATGATGTATGCTTTTAATAAATACAAGCTGTCTTTTATTTGATTATCTTGAATACATTTTCCTGAAACACAATTTTTAACATTTGTTCCTGCAAGATGTGGAACTCCCCGGTAGTAAACAATCTGGCCTTTGGTCCTGGTTCCTGAGAGGTGGACCACACCTGAGGTCAATGAATAGGGGCTGACCAGCCCAAGAGCAACCATCAACGCTGACTAAGCCTCAAGGCCATGCGGTGAGGCCAATAAAAGCCTTGGAAGTCACAGGCTCAGTGGAGCTTTCTGAGTGAAAGAGCAAACATCTGCTCTCGAGAGGGAAGCTCTGCACTGAGACCCCTCCCAGAACTTGCCCTATGCGTTTGTATTCTTTTTTCCACCAGATTAAACATAGCCCTTTCCCTGGAGTTTGTGAGTCATTCCAATGAATTACTGAACCTCAGAAACAGAAAAAGGGTTGGCACCTGCTGACCTAGCCCCAGGTGAATGGGGATGAGAGAGAGAAGGACTGCATGGAGCAGCTGGAGTCTGGACTGACCTGGGAAGGGAAGCTGAGATTGCTACAGGATGCAGTTGATGTGTGGAGTAGGATTTATTAACCACTACACATTTGGCGTCAGAGCCTCCCTGAACTGGTTTGACACAACTGGTGCAGCGAACAGGGTTAGCTGGAGAAGACCCTGAGAGTTCAGTTCCATTCCAGTGGTTTGGTTTTCTTCCTCAAGGACTTGGCGATATGCAATACGTAAGTTGGATCTTCTATATAATTTTCTCTCAAATCCTTTTTGTGTCTTCATTTCTTTTTTGATTAAAAAAGTTTTTCTCCTGGCTGTGGGCACCATGGTCT